AAATTAAAAAGGCGAATAATGAGAAATTGAAAATTTTGAAACAATGGATTATTGTAATTGTAAAATCGGAAATGGAAAAATTGAAGAAATGAAAAATTAATAATTCTAAAATTTTAAATTTGAAAAATCAAAACTGAAGAAACTGATACATGAAAAAACAAAAAATAGAAAACTCGAAAAATTGAAGATATTAAACAATATCGAATATTTTAAAATGGAAAACTGAAAAATTGAAAAATCGAAAATTGAAAACAAATCAACAACCTGAAAAACCGTTATGGACTCGATTACAATACTTCCTTTGCTTACGCTCGGGAAGTAAAAATGGCAAACAGAAAATTCTAAAACGGAAAAATTGAAAATCAAAAATGAAAACGGAAAAATCAAAGAATTCGAGAAATGATAAACCGATTAATTAAAAAGTCGAAATTCTAAAATGAAAAATCTAAAAATCGAGAAATTGAGGTAAAAAACCCGGATAAATGTAATAAAAAATGAAAATGGATAATAGGAAAAATCACAAATTCTAAAACTGGTAACTTGAAAATCAAGGCTGAAAAATTGACAACTCGATCGAAAAAAACCGAGGAAAAAAATCCCGGATAATTGTAAATTCCTAAAATTTAAAATGGAAAATTGGAAAAATCAATAATTCTAAAATTAGAAACTTGAAAATCAAAATTGAGAAATCGAAAAATTGGATAATCCAAAAACTGATAACTCGATAAATTGAAAACTCGATGATGCGAAAAATCGAATACATAAATGAAAAATCGAATATTGTAAAGTGGAAAATCGAAAAATTGAAAAATCAAAAAATTTAAAAATTAAAAATTGAAAATTATAAATCGAAATATTGAGAAATCAAAAATTGAAAAATCGAGCAATTGCGAAATTAAGTATTGAAAAATTGAAAAATTGGGCAATTGAAAAAATCAATAATAATAATTACTGAAATATCGAAAAATTGGAAAATTAAAAATTGAGGTATTAAAAATGCGAATATTGATTGATTGAACTGAAAATTTTGAAACAACGGATAATTATTAAGTCGTGAAACTGGAAATGAAAAAACTCTAAAACGGAAAACTTAAAAATCAAAAAAGGAAATGGAAAAATCAAAGAATTCGAAAAATGGAAAAATCGTAAATTTGATAAATCAAGAAACTGAATCGAAATATTTATAGTCAAGAAATTAAAAAATCGAATATTCCAAAATAGAATATCGACAAATTATAAAATTCATAAATCGAAATATCGAAAACTTAAAACTTGGAAAGACCGAAGAATCGACATTTCGAAAAACTGAAGAATTAATAGTCGAGACACTAAAAAATTGAATATTCTAAAATGGAAACAAAAAGAATTGAAAAATTAAAAATTAAAATACTGAGAAATCAAAAATCGAATGATAAAAAAACCGAAAAATTGGGAAATTTAGGAAAAAACCTAGTAAACTAGTAACATAAATTGAAAATAGAAAATTGCAAAAATCAAAAATTCTAAAACTGGAAACTTGAAAATAAAAACTGAAAAATCTAAAAATTGAAGAATCCAAAAATTGACAACTCGATAGGTAAAAAAAATCAAAAATCGAATAAATAAATTAAATTTTAATAGTCAAGAAAATTAAAAAATAAATGATAAATCAAGAAATTATGAATTCATAAAATTGGAAATGGAAAAATTGAATAAATGAAAAATGAGAAATTCTAAAACCAGATTTTGAATTATCAAATTGAAACACTGGGAAATTGAAAAATCAAAAATCGCAAAATCGTAAAATTGGAGAATGAGAATGAGTAAATAATCAAGAAATTGCGAAATGAAGTATTTTGGAATTGAAAAATTAATAACTGAAACAAGGAAAATTGGAAAATTAAAAATCGAAGTATTGAAAAAGCCAATATTGGGAAATTGAAAATTTTGACACGGATTATTAAACTTATTATTAAACCGTAAAACTGGAGACGAAAAAATGAAAAAAAAAAAATGGCAAATAAAAAATTCTGAAACAGAAAAATTGAAAATGAAAAATGAAAATGGAAAAATCAAAGAATTCGAGAAATGACAAACCGACAAATTAAAAAGCCGAACAAAAAATAAATACCGAAAAATTGCAAAATTAAAAATTGAGGTACGAAAAATGCGAATGTTGATTGAACTGAAAAAATTGAAACAACGGATAATTATTTAATCGTAAAATTGGAAATGGAAAAATTCTAAAACCGAAAATTTGAAAAATCAAAACTGAAAACCGAAAAACTGAAAAATCCAAAAATTGAAAAATCGATAAATTAAACTTAAAAACAAAGAACCAAAAACTAGAATAACTGAAAAATTAATATTGGAGAAATTAAATACTCTAAAATGAAAAATCGAAAAATTGAAAAATCAAAAAATTGACACTTTGGGAAAATGAAAAATAGAAAAATTATAAAACTGAGAAATCAAAAAAATTGAAAAATTAAAAACCGAGACATTAAAAATCGAAACAGTGAGAGATGAAGAAATTTCAAAATCGTAAAATAGGAAAATGAATAATCGAGAAATTACGAAATTAAGTATTGTAAATTGAAAAATTCGGGAATTGAAAAATTAATAATTTAATCAATAAAATTAAAAATGCGAATAATTATTAAATCGTAAAATTGGAAATGAAAAAATTGAGCAAAAGGCAAATAAGAAATTCCTAAACGAAAAAATAGAAAATCAAAATCGAAAATGGAAAAATCAAAATTCGAGAAATGACAAACCAAGAAATTAAAAGGTCGAAAAACTGAAAAATCAAGAAACTGAAAAATGAAAAAAACGTAAAATTGAGAAGTCGGAAAATCCAAAATTAAAAATCGAAATCAAAAATCGAATAATCGAAAAATTGAAAAATTCACAAATTGAGGACAAGCCGGATTGTAAAATAGTAAAACTGAAAATGGAAAATTGGAAAAATCAACGATTCTAAAACTGGAAACTTGAAAATCAAAACTGAGAAATCGAAAAATTTGAGAAATCCAAAAACTGGCATTCAAAATCAAAGAATCGAAAAATCAAATACATAAATGAAAAATTAATAGTCAAGAAATTGAAAAATCTCGAAATTAAAAATTAAGAAAACGAAAAATTATTATTAAATGAGAGATTAAAAATTCGAAACATGGAGAGATCAAGAAATTGTAAAATCGTAAACGAAACACCAAAGAACTGAAAAATTCAAAAATTGACAAATCGATAAATTAAAAACGAAGAACCGGAAACTAGAATAATTGAAAATTAATAATCGGGAAATTAAAAACTCGAATATTCTAAAACTAAAAGTCGAAAAACTGAAAAATGAAGAAACAGAAAACTAGAAAAATCGAAAATTTAAAAAGTTGACAAATTTAAAATGAATCAAAAAAATGCAAAATCGTAAAACTGAAAAATCAAGAAACTGATTCTAAAAACTGGTAGTCGAGAAAATAAAAAATCAAATATTTCAAAGCGGAATATCGACCAATACGAGTAGTAAAATCAAACAAGAATCCGACTCTAATGGAGAAAATAAAAATGAATCAAAAATACATCCTCTAGCAATAATTCATTAATGATTTTTTAATATGACGTCATCCACTTTTTGGAGGGAATAAGTCAATAAATTTTGTTTAATTTATTAATTATTTGTTTACATCCATCACCCCGTCCACACTTAACAATTAACATTAAATAATATCCAATAAGAACAGAAAATGATTAAATGTTTCACCAGACTCCTATGTAGGTTCTGAGACACCTTGCGAAATTTTATTCCACAAACTTACTTTCTTTATGATAAAATGTTTGCACGGCTTAAAAATATGAGTTTATTATTATTAAAACACAGACAAAAAAGTGTGTCACAATTTTAACCCGAAACGTGATTAACCCGACAAAATTCGGGCATAACGTCATCAATTTTTACAGGGAATGTGTAAACAAAACTTGATTAACAATTAGCAGTTCAAAATTTCAAAGGAAACAGTTGGCTAGTTTCGGAAATTAAATCACAACAAACTGACTGCCGGATAGAAGACAGACGTGGACTATAAATTCGCTCGAAAATTAAAAATAACGATACAATGAAACTATGAATGAAACAAAACGACAAAAAAAACACGTTATAGTAAACAAGGAAGACGTTCCAGTCGTGTTGAAAACCCTCCAGAGGTGTTTATTTCTCTAAACCGAGGAAATTTATTAGACCGCTGCAACAATAAACGTTTTTTTTTTTTCTACTTTTTATTAAAGTTTACGCACGTTATCAAAGAGGTGTATTTTACGCTAACATCTTACAAACACGCATCGCCAACCTTGACTCAGTTTCGCTCGAACTTCGCGTAGGTACCTAAATTTAGCACACCGGCAACTCTTTCGGCAAACCCGACCCAATTAGCCCAATAAAACACAAAACCCAATCCGAAACTCATTCCGCATTTTTAGCACCTTCAAACAACATCAAACACATGGAAATATTTTCACAAAGCAAACTTTCCATTTCTCTATTTGTTATTCCGAGTCGGGCAAACACCCGCCTAATAAATTTTATTAGCAAAACAAACACAGCTAAAAACCCCCACAGCAAACGAATTGCAAGAAACGACATTCTCATCTGGATTATTCCGGGGAAGGCCGGAGCACTTTCCGGGAGCGTTAATATGCAAAGGCGGCTGATTTTCCGGATTTCCCAGACCTTGTCGACGAATCGCGCTCTTATCAAATATCTCCGAGTTATTTTTAAGCGTGTCGTTAATTTATTGCGTCATCGGGGAGCGTGACCAATCGAATTCCTTCATTGGCCTTCGATCGGCGCCGAGACTACCTTAACATTTATTACCATCACTATTATTATTACTTGAATCACTATGTAGACAGAATTTACAAAAATTGCATCAAGTTTGCAACCCGTTTTTGCATTACTCTTGTTTTTTTTTTGTTGTATGATTTTTGTTTGTTTGTTTGGTTTTTTTTTTTGTTTCTTTTCTTACCGTGGATGCGTTCCCGCGGGCGTCGTGCCGCACCCGCTGCCCCCGCTGGAAGGCGGCGACTTCGGCCGCCACCAGGACCCACACCCAAGCCCACTTCCCGTGCATTCTCAGCCAAAGCTCTCTCACAACTAACTACTTAACATTAAAGGCTGGGTGGATTTACATAAACTTGCGTCTCATTCTGAGTAAAAAATTATTATACTCGGTTGAGCGGCGGCTGGGTGTGATTAATTGCGAATTCGAGTGGACGACTTTTCAATATTATTAAATGGAACTGTCGCTCGTATAAATAGAGATGATTTATGGTGGGGCCGACAATGAACCCGAAATTATTTTTGGTGGGTATTAATTATAATTGTTCGAGAGGAGGGCTTTTTTGTTCCACTAAAATAAACTGTGCGCTCTATTTATTTAGATGGGTGGGAACGGCCGGTTTGTTTGTTTGTTCGCAGAGAGATTGATTGTTGGAGATCATAAAAGTTGGGGGTTGGGGGAATTTGATTGGCGGGGGTTGGGTAAAGTTGTAGTGGAGGGGTTGGGGTTACCTGGCCTGCGTTCATTTATTGACAAGCAAAAAATACAGTTTTTAACCAATTTTGATAAATTTTTTTCGTATTACGGTTTCCCGTTTCCGTCCGTCTGTTGTCTGACTGTAAATTAGTGGACTTATTTTTGGATAGTTCAGACTAAAATCACGGAGTTCTTGGAATTTTCTCAAGACTATAATATTGATGTCATAGTTACAGAACAAATATTAAGATTTATCTATTCATTCTTTCTAGAAAACTGATGACGAAAAATTACTAACTAATTAAATATTTGTTGAAAAGTATGTTTATTTTTTTTACTCCAAAAAGATGCAAATTTCTGGAGGTCGAAACCTACAAGAAATTGAAAAATTTTGTTTTTGAGAAAGTTGCCAAAAAATTCCCAAAAATTTTAGAAAACAGATTTCCTCCTTCTGGTTCCAAAAATATAGTGTTTATGCCTCCGGTGCAAGTTTTAAAAATATTTAGCTAGAAAATATTTTTTTAGTCCTAAAAATTGCATTATGGAAAAATAGTAGAAGTTATCGAAGAAATGTGTCCGAAATCAACTTTTGGAGGTCTGAAATCTATAAGAAAATGTGTTTGGTTAAATTTTGGAGACTTGTGGAAAATTGGCCGAATTTTTGTTTTCACTGAAAAAGTTTGCTAGGGGCAAAATCAGTGTTATCTTAATAAATGCTACGTCCATCCAGCCGCCCGCTATTTTCTCAAAAGATATGTCATCTGCCAAAATCAGTTTTATCTTACCAAGTACTAGCCCCGCCCACCCGCCCCCTATTTTCTAAGAGAATATGTCATTTGCCAAAATCAGTCTTATCTTACCAAGGTGGAGCCCCGCCCACCCACCCCCTATTTGCTCAGAGGATATGTCATCTGCCAAAATCAGTTTTATTTTACCAAATACTAGTCCCGCCCACCCGCCCGCTATTTTTCCAGAGGATATGTGATTTGCCAAAATCAGTTTTATCTTACCAGGTACGATTTTCCACACTGTATGTAGTCTATGGAAATAAAGTATTATTATTATTATTATTATTATATTACTAGCCCCGCCCACCCGCCCCCTATTTTCTCAGAGAATATGTCATCTGCCAAAATCAGTTTTATCTTACCAAATGCTAGCCTCGCCCACCCGCCCCCTATTTTCTAAGAGGATATGTCATTTGCCAAAATCAGTTTTACTTTACCAAATACTAGTACCCTATTTTATTTTTTTGATTTTTGGATGTTTCGATTTCTCCATTTTTCAATTTTATGATATTTTAATTGTTCAATGTTTTAAATTTTGGATTTTTCGATTTATCAGTTCTTCAATATTTTTTAATTTTTCAAATTTTGACGTTTCTGAATTTTTAATTTTCCGATTTCTCAATCTATTTTTTGATTTTCCGGTTCTTCGATTTTTTATTTTGCGATATTTCAAATTTTAGATTTTTCGATTTCCCCATTTTTTTATTTTTTAGTTCTGCAGTATTTCTATTTTTCAATTTTTCAAATTCTGATGTTGCTAAATTTTCAGTTTTCCGATTTCTCATTTAATCTATTTTTGATTTTCCCATTTTCCCGACTTCTCAAATTTCGATTTTTCAATTTTTCAATTCTTCGATTTTTCGACTTTACTTTTTTGGTTTTTCGATTCCTCAATTTTCCAATTTTTTAATTTCTCAATTTTTGGATATTTCTTTCAGGTTTAGGATTTTTCAATATGTATTTCGATTATTCCACTTAAAAAATAAAGTTTTTACAAGATTAAAAGTGGCAAAAGTTTTATCTTAACAAATACTAGGCCTGCCCACCCGCCCCCTATTTTCCCAGAGGATATGTCATTTGCCCAAATCAGTCTTATCTTACCAAGTACTAGCCCCACCCACCCGCCCCCTATTTTCTAAGAAGATATGTCATTTGTAAAATCAGTTTTATCTTACCAAGTACTAGCCCCACCCACCCACCCCCTCTTGTCTCAGAGGATATATCATTTGCCAAAATCAGTCTTATCTTACAAAAGTTTAGCCCCGCCCACCCGCCCCCATTATTTTCTCAGAGGATATGGCATTTGCCAAAATCAGTTTTACTTTACCAAATACTAGTACCCTATTTTATTTTTTTGATTTTTGGATGTTTCGATTTCTCCATTTTTCAATTTTATGTTATTTTAATTTTTCAATGTTTTCAATTTTAGATTTTTCGATTTTTCAGTTCTCCAATATTTTTTAATATTTCAAATTTTGACGTTTCTGAATTTTGAATTTTCCGATTTCTCAATCTATTTTTGATTTTTCCAAAGTTTCGATTTTTCGGTTCTTCGATTTTTCAATTTTGCGATATTTTAATTGTTCAATGTTTTAAATTTCAGATTTTTCGAATTCTCGATTTTTTTATTTTTTAGTTCTGCACTATTTCTATTTTTCAATTTTTCAAATTTTGACGTTGCTAAATTTTCAGTTTCCCGATTTCTGATTTAAATTATTTTTGATTTTCCCATTTCTCAACTTCTCAAAATTTCGATTTTTCAGTTTTTCAATTCTTCGATTTTTCGACTTTGCTTTTTTGGTTTTTCGATTTCTCAATTTTCCAATTTTTTAATTTCTCAATTTTTGGATTTCTTTCAGTTTTGGAATTTTTCAATATGCATTTCGATTCTTCGACCTATCGATTTTCAACTTCTGCATTTTTCGATTTTCTTATTTTTTGATTTTTCAGTTTTTTGTGTTTTAACTGTAGATTTTTCAATTTTTCAACTGTTTTATATTTCGATTTCTCAATTTTTCAACTTTCCGATATTTTAATTTTTCATTTTTTTTAAATTCTAAATTTTCCTTTTTTTTTGAATTTTCAGTTCTTCTATATTTTAATTTTTCAATTTTCCGAATTTTTAAATTTTCGATTTTTCAATTTTTTGAGATCTCCCGGTTTATCGAGATTCGGATGTTTCGATGTTTTGATTCTTCAATCTCTCGATTTATCAATTTTTCTATTTTTAACTTTTCAATTTTTTGATTTTGAAAAATTAAAAAATAAAGTTTTTACAAGATTGATAGGGGCCAAATCAATTTTACCTTAACAAATCCTACCACTTCCCACCCACCCGCCATTTTCTCAATTTTTCGATTTTTCTACTCCTAGATTTTTCGATCTTTTGATTTTTTGATTTGACGATGTCTCAGTTTTTGCATTTTTCAATGTTTCGATTTTTGAATTATCCGATTTTTCAATTTTCCAATGTTTTAAATTTTCGAGTTTCGATTTCTCGATTTATTAATTTTTATTTTTTTGATTTTTGGACGTTTCGGTTTCTCCATTTTTCAATTTTATGATATCGTAATTTTTCACTGTTTTAAATTTTGAATTTTTCGATTTTTCAGTTCTTCAATATTTTTTAATTTTTCAAATTTTGACGCTTCTGAATTTTTAATTTTCCGATTTCTCAATCTATTTTTTGAATTTTCCAAAGTTTCGATTTTTCAGTTCTTCGATTTTTCAGTTTTGCGATATTTTAATTGTTCAATGTTTTAAATTTTAGGTTTTTCGATTTCTCGATTTTTTTATTTTTAGTTCTGCAGTATTTCTATTTTTCAATTTTTCAAATTTTGACGTTGCTAAATTTTCAGTTTCCCGATTTCTCATTTCATCAATTTTTGATTTTCCCATTTCTCGACTTCTCAGTTTAGATTTTTCAGTTTTTCAATTCTTCGATTTTCCGACTTTGCTTTTTTGGATTTTTCAATATGTATTTCGATTCTTCGACTTGTCGGTTGTCAACTTCTGGATTTTTCGATTTTTTGATTTTTTGTTTTTTCAGTTTTTTGTTTTTTAACTGTAGATTTTTCAATTTTTCGACTGTTTTATATTTCGATTTCTCAATTTTTCAACTTTCCGATATTTTAATTTTTCAATTTTTAAAATTCTAAATTTTCCTTTTTCTCGAATTTTCAGTTCTTCTATATTTTAATTTTTCAATTTTCCGAATTTTTAAATTTTCGATTTTTCAATTTTTTGAGATCTCCCTCCCACCCACCCGCTATTTTCCCACAGGAAATATCATTTGCCAAGATCAGTCTTATCTTACCAAGTACTAGTCCCGCCCAACCGCCCCCTATTTTCTCAGAGAAGGTTATTTGCCAAAATCAGTCTTATCTTATCAAGTACTAGCCCCGCCCACCCGCCCTCTACTTTTTCAGAGGATATTTTATTTGCCAAAATCAGTCTTATCGTAAGAAGTACTAACCCCGCCCACCCGCCCTCTATTTTCTCATAGGATCTGTGATTTGCCAAAATAAGACTTATGTTAGCAAGTACTAGTCCTGCCAACCCCCCCTTGATTTTCTCAGGGGGTAATACTGGCTAGTATTTGCTAAGATCAGTCTTATGTTGGCAAATCATATATCCCCGGAGAAAATAGGGGCGGGTGGGTGGGGCTAGCACTTGCTCAGATAAGACTGATTTTGGCAAACGCCATAGCCTCTGAGAAAATAGTGGGCGGGTGGGCGGGGCTAGTACTTGCAGAGATAAAGCTTATTTTGGCAAATGACATAAACTCTGAGAAAATAGAGGGCGGGTGGGCCGGGCTAGTACTCGGTAAGGTAAGACCGATTTTG